ACTTTTAAAATATGATAAATTAAGACACATGAACTCCAAGATTTAAAAAGAAACTGGAGGAAAAGCCCCCAGTAAGTGGCAGATAAGCACAGTGGAAAGAAAGAAAAAATGTATCTCAAGATTTATACAAAAGGGCTGAAGAGGTAGGTTGCTCAGTGGTTAGAGCACTGCCTGGTCTTCCAGAGGTCCTAAGTTCAATTCAGCAACCACATAGTGATTCACAGTCAGTCATCTATACTGGGGTCTGATGTCCTCTTCTGTGATGCAGAAACCATGTGAAGGAGTCTTCATCATGTTGTATGGAAGAGGAAAACAAACCGGTGATGGTGAGCCTGGTGAAAGGACACTTAACTTTGTTGATGCTGTGGTAACAGTAGATCCACCGCACAACACAGTTACTATGGATAACAACCAATACCCTGTTCTTGAAATGACATCTATTGGGTACTCTTCTTGTTTCTGTGATCAGTGCCTGAAAAACACCTTAAAGAAATGTTTGTTTTGGGCTCATAGTTTGAGGGCAAGGTCCATCATGGTGAGAAAGGCTTGACAGCAGGTATGTGAAGCAGCATGTCACATTTTTGTCTGCAGTCAAGAGAGAGAGAGGTCAGTGCCAGCAAGAAGCTCATTGTCTCCTTTCCAACAAATAATAGAGGGTCTTTGTTGGAAGGGCATGAAAGATAAATCCTGAAATGTCAATATGAGAGGGAACAAAATCTTCGAATGATGATGGACCACACTTGGAAACTAAGCTATTTCAAAGCCTGTATGGCAATCAGAGATCAGAGAAAAACAAGGCTGGTGGTGGTGTTGAGGGCCCCTGGGATGGCTGGGTAGAAAAGGACAGAAAAATTCTCTAATGCAAAATAAATAAATAAATAAATAAATAAATAAATAAATAAATAAATAAATAAAATAAAAATTTAAAAATACAGCTTTACAACGAACACTGAATGAGAGTGGATGCATGTTTACTGGACCTGCCGGTAGGTGGCGCCAGTGTGCCATTTGTGATAAACCGAGTCCTAAAGCTTTCTCCCCAACATAGAAGTTTGAGGACCAGTAAATTCTATAGAAATCTGAGGATATGTTTCTTCAGCCAGGGCTGTGGCCCTTGAGAGGAGCTGCCCTCCAGACCAGATTCTATCTGCCTATTTGTCAGAAGTGTGGTTCTGCTCTGTCAACAAAGTAGCAAAGTAGTAAGAGAACTGGAAGGCTCAGGATCTCCAGTCTAAATCCGTAGAACCTTCAGCACTTCGGGAACCCATAAAGGAAAGGCAAAGATAATCTGAGAAATCTGAGAGCAGGATAAACCTCAGAGTTTTCCAGTGACCTAATTTCAGCACTGTTTAAGGGGTCTCCTAAAGGTGAGCCTGTTAGTTCATTAGCCAGCTTGTCACGATGACAAACAAACAAACAAACAAACCAAAACAAAACAAACAAACAAGACACCTGAGACCAACATATGGGAAAGATTTAATTTGACCCAGGATTTCAAAGTGTTTTTTTTGTATAGTTGCTTAGCCTCCTGGTGCTGAGTCTGAGCGTAGTGTTGAAGAGCTTGCCCAATTCATAGTGGCAGGAGGAACAGAAGGGCAGGAGCCTAATACTCCCTCAAAGGCACAATTCCAGTGACCTAAGTCCCTTCCACCAGACCCTACCTCTCAAAGTCTCTGTTACTTCCCAATGTGACACTGGCTGGCTGCAGAGCCTTTTATACATGGCCTTTGAGGGACATTCAAAACCCAGCCTTAACTGATCACCCACCAGGACAGGGTAAGAATCTATCTATGCACTCCTATAGAATCAACCGGTAGAAGGGTGCCTCAAGGCGCAGAAGTTTAAGTTGGAGAGCAGGGAGACTATTCACAATAGCTGGATGGGGATGGGGAAGGTGGCCCTCTGCTGAGACATTGGGACAATCATTTATTGTCTATAGAGGGAAAAGAAGCTTCCACCTTTTGGTTCAGGGGAAAACCACTTTCAGGTGGGTTAAAGATATAAGCGTGAGAGACAAGCCCATGACAACTTGCGATGCTTTGGTTTACATGAGACCTCAGTTACCCCAGGACTGGGACTCACTACAGTCACTTAATTTTGTTTAGAAATTAGTGGGAGTTTCAGCTTGATTAGATAAATTCCCCTCCCCCCTGCTCCTTTTATTGGTGGGCTGCCTTCTTTCTCCGTACCTTTGTGTTCCCTGTCTGTAGATTGATCCACTCAACCATAAATCAGAAATATTTTTAAAGCACATAGATAAGTGAACATGTATTCATTTTCCCTTACCATTTCCTAAATAACACACCCTCCAGCCATCTACCTGGCATCTACACCGTGTTAAGTGTGATAAAGTCATCTAGAAGGGACTGAGTGGCATGGGAGAGTTCGTGCCAGGTCTATGAAGACACAGTATTGTATCAGCTACTTTTCTGGTGCTGTGAGAAGCCACTCTTGAGCTCCCAATCCTTCTCCCCCAACCTCCTGGCTGTCAGAAACATAGCTGTGTACCACCACACTGGTTTCAAATGATGTTTCTAGGAGCTGGGAAATTAATTTACTGAGTACTTTCCTTCTGTGGGTACCTATGTGCATGTGTGGTGTGAGTTAGTGTCTATGTGTGTTCACATGTGTTGGGGTGTACCTGTAAGGGGAGGTTCCCATGCACGTAAGTATTTATGTGTATGTATAGACCTTAAATTAATGTTGGGCATCTCTCTCTATTGTTCTCCACTTATTTATTGAGGCAAAGCCTGACACTGAAGGTACAGCCCACCAATTGTGGCTACTCTAACAAGCCAGCTTGCCCCGGGGATCCCCCATTTCTGCTTCCTGAGTAGTGGATTACAGGCAGATCACCATGTTTATTTATCGTTTACATGGATTCTGGAGATCCAAACCCCAGACCTCATGCTTGGAGGGCAAACATTTTATCTATTCAGCAGTTTCCTCAGCTCCTGTTCAGTGTTTTCAATATCTGTCAATATAACCTTATTTTATAGTTTGAGATGCTAATAAATATATAAGTAATTGCCTTCATAACATTAAAATACTTTAGCATTGCCAGATTATGTATAATATTAAAATACCTTTGTGTGCTTGGAGTCGACCTGCATGCAAAGAACATGTCTAATATTCTGTTGGGCTGTAAACGTTGATAATTATTTGTGAATTTCACATTCCATTTATGGAGTTACATAGAGCTGGGAGGTGTCGTGTTAACTTTTGGGGTTCAAGAATTAGGATGATGTTAGTGTTAAAAACCTTCCTACATTTTTTTTCTGTGTACAAGAGCAATTTATATACCATTAAAATGCTTTGTTTAGTTTTTAAGAATTTGCATGTGGCCTAACCATCGACCACAGTACAATGTTTCATGGATTCCTTGCTTGATGATCTTTAATAGTTTTTACTTTTGTTGATTTGGTGTTAGTAACGTGCACTTCCTCAGGAAATGTACCATTTGTAGATTTTTTCCCTAATAAAAGCCTTATGGGCTTGAATTTTGTTATTATTTTATTCTATGTATGAGGGTATTTGATCTCCTTATATGTCTGGACACTTCACATATTCCTAGTTACTACACAGCAGAAAGAGGGCATTGTATTCACTCACAACTGGAGTTACAGGGAGTTGTGAGCTTTCATGTGAGTGCTAAGAACTGAACCCAGGTGCCCTGCTAGAGCAGTGAGTGCTCTTAACTACCAGCTCCCCGGCCCATTTTTTGATTAATGAACATACAGGTCATTTTGGTTGTGAATAATGATTTTATTTTATTTGTTATATTTTAAAACAAGATCTCATGGCCAAGTCTTTAATCCCAGCACTTGAGAGGCAGAGGCAAGGCAGAGACCAGACTGGTACATAGTGAGTTCTAAGACAGCCAAAGCTATAAAGTAAGACCCCTGTCTTGGGGGAAAAAAATTCTCACACTGTAGCAAAGGCTAACCTAGAACTTGAAATCCTCCGGCCCCACCTCCCAAATACCACCACATTGAGCTATGGTGTTTTTCTTACATATTTAACATCGTTTTTGGGGGGGGAGGGGGAGAATCACAATGACACATAATTGTGGTCCAGCTACTGAGGAGTTTGAGGCAGAGGGATCTCTGTTCAGGCAACCTAGCAAAAGTCTGTGTCAAGGGTAAAAGAAAAATATTTATACATATATACATGTATGCATGTATACAAATATATGGTTTTCCTCTTTTCTCCCACCATTTTTTCCATTATTTATTAACTTTACCTCCTGATGGAAGCTTCTCCTCCCTCTCCCCCAGATCCTCCCCTCCCCACATCCACCCCCTTACACTTCTCCTCAGAAAAGGGGAAACCTCACTTGGATATTAACCAGCCTTAGTGCATCAAGTTGCAGTGAGACTAGGTGCAGTTAGGGGAGAGGGATGCAAAGGCAGTCAATGCAGTCAGAGACAGCCCCTGTCCCACTTTAGAAGTCCCACATGAAGACCCAGCTGCACAACTGTTACATATGTCTCACACCATTTTTGATATCTCCCTTTTCTTTGTAATATTTCAGAGACTTTTGTCTATTGTGCATATGTTTATTCAGAACCAGTTGTTGAACGGTATTTATTTCATTTTCAGTGTACTTTAAACATCTTTATTTCTACTTGTATCTTCCCCCCAAGGGCTTCTCACTTAGCAACATTTCACCAACATCTCACAGAGTTAATACTTCACTAATATACAGTGTAACACATGGGACTACATAGGATAAAAATAGACTAAAGGAAGAGACTGGGGGTGGAGGTGGGGGCAGCCCAACCCGACCGGTTCCTGAGATAATCTGCAGAGGAAACTACCCAAAATGGACAACGCTTCTTCAGACTCTGAACTCCAAAACCTAACTCAGCCAGGGCTACTGCCCCACAGTACACTACACAGACCCTGGGCTAAGTCCTGCAGCCTGGAAGACAACCTGCTCTGCGTGTTTCCAGACTAAAAAGGGACGTGAGGGGAGAGCCTATCGAGGGGTCAGTAAGTAGCTTTGAGTGTCAGACACACCATACATTTATTTTTAAATAATAAAAAAATGGCAAAGGAAATACAGGAAAGAAAACATTCGTGAATCCAAGTCACTAAAGTGCTTTCAAACATAAACTCAAAAAGACCAAGAAGTTGGGTCTGACCTTCAGACAGTCTCCAGATATTAACAATTGCTTAAACATGGCTCCAGGTGATTTCAAAGGAGGAGGGGCATATGGCTTTCTTTGCTATTTATACATTGAGTATTCAAGGCCTATCAAGTAACTGAGAACACAAAATTACCACCTACCACAAAGACTGGTCCTAGACCCATCTCAAGGAATGGTAATATAGCATTCATTCATTCATTCATTCATTCATTCATTTGTCTGTTTAGAAGCTTCTCCTAGGAATGTATAACAATTACATTCACACCTGTAATGCAGCACTGGAGAGGCTGAGGCAGGAGATTATGAAAATGAGGCTAGCCTGGGTCTGCACAGCAAGACCCTGTTTCAACAAAATCAAACCAAATATTCTAACTTAGAGTGAGGAGGTCAGGCTAGCTTTCTTTTCTTTTTCTTTTTTTTTTTTTTCCATTTCAGTGACTTTTAATTTTAAGTAACCTCTTGGATTCAAACATGTAACCCCTTCCAGGCTAGCTTTCTTAATGATTGAACCACATCTTAAATACTGCCGGGTAGTAATAATCTCATCATCACTGGGATGCTCTTGAACGTCTTGATCTCTTGTCTCCACCCCGAGTGCTGGGATTACAGGTGTGTGCGATCTGGTTTATGTGTATTAAATCCAGGTCTTCGTGTGTACTGTTAACTGAGCTACGCCATACCCTAGCTCTAAAATTATCTTTGAACTTCAAATCTTCCATGTTCAAATTCTACAAAGGAAAAACAAAATTTTAGACCAAATTGACTGGCTTGGGAGGTTATGTGAATGTTCTCTACTCTAGAATTAAATGGAACTTTCCCTAAGTCATTATTTATTCAACATTGTAGTGTTGCCCTCTATCCAGACGTTTCAGGAAGAAAACCAAACTGAAGGTGTTTGCCTTGGACCTGTCTCCTGAAAAATACTTGTGAGAAGTATGCATATTTCCAGCTTTTGGGGGGGCAATCTGTCAGTCTCATGAGGCTCCCACCTGTCGGGGCTGGAGCACCTGCAGCCCCGGGGCGTGGGAACATCCCTGAGTACTGGACCCTGGAGGCATTTTCTAAGACCCTGGCCTGGAAGAGCTGGACAGGTCAATGGCCATATCTTCCAAGCTCCCCTCAGGGTCCAGGCTTGTTTTGTCTGGTCCCCTCTCAGGTCCATTCGGATCCTTATTAGCACCTTTTTTGAGATGGTCAAACTCCCAGAGTCCTGCCAATTTGTCTTCACTTTCTGGTTTCCTCATTCCTGTAGACTTTTTATGCATCCCTGGAAAACAAAAAGGAAAAACAACAATAAAAATTTTGTTTTGTTTTGTTTTGAGACAGGGTGCTTTGATGTAGTCCTGGATTTTGCCATGTACACCAGGCTGACATCATATGCACTCGATCTGCTTGCCTCTGTCTCCTGATTACTGGGACAGATAAAAGGCATGTGCCATCACACCAGGCTCAAAAATATTTTTAAACTCAGCAATTGAGTACATTCCTTCCTTATCACTGTTCTCTCAGTCTGTCTAAAATGTTCTTTCTCAGTGTTCCTCTGGAGCCTAGAGGAGAGCAACCAGGTGCTAACTCCCAGCATTAAGGTTTCAAAAGTTCTATTTGTCAGCTATCACTCCTGCAAAATGTTTTGTAGGGTGACGTGTCATCTAAACAACAATTCCTGTTTGGCACTTGCTTGTATATGACTGAGGTCCTCAGGATGCCAGAAAGTGCCCCTATTTGTGTGATTTCAGAAGAGTGGGCTTGGTTCTCTACCCACCCTGACTTCTGTCTAATCTCTTTAGTCCTTAGTCATAGTCCAAGCTATATTAACCATGCTATCTCTGGTTCTCAGCCCAGCACCGGGCAGAAAAACTGTTTGTTGAACTTTCCCAGCCTAAAATCTCACTAGGATCCACCTAACTAATTTACTGATAGTAATTATCTTGTGACCCATGCTTGCAAACTCTGAACCCAAACAGCACAGAAAGGGGTAAGAGCCCAGAAAGGGCTTGATCTCTTCAATAGAAACACTCCAGGGCATGTTTGTTAAATCAGGACCAGGATCTGACCTACCTACTGCTTCAGCAGTGCAGACAGAATAGAATAATCTAGATTCTCCCTGCTCTGCATGGCCCTGTTAACCCTGCACACTAAGCCGAATACCTTCTACACTTTCTAGTAGGATTCGCCACTTTGATAATACGTATCAAAAACAATGCAAGTATATCTGTCCACTTATACATTTTGAATACATGTTTACAAATGTGAATAGCCTAAAGGGATTTTCCCACACATTGCCTCCACACTTTCAACAGAAAATTAAGGCTCAGAATTAACAAAAACTTAAGAGTTCAGAGTGGGCTTAAACCTGAGACCTCTTTGCTCTTCATATCCGTGGTGAGAACACGGCTCACACCCCTGGTCTTGCTCTCAGCCACCTCTTACCCAGAAGCCAGGGTGCACAGGAGCCCTGCAGGCTATCTGCAGAGTTGAGCACGGAGTCCGGCAGTGGAATGCAGTGACGCACCATGGCTCCGTAGAGCCCATACTCAGCCATAACACTGCTGCCGCCCCAGCGCTTCTCTCGCTTACGCCACTTGGCCCTCCGGTTCTGGAACCAGACCTGGTTAGAGGCAGATGGGAGACAGAGGGGCTCAAGGAGAGACACTATGGAAAGGAATGCCTACAGAAGCTCATGCGTTCCTGGACTCTGAGTCTATAAGGGACCATTCCTCACCCCTCGGCCTGCAGGCCAGTGTGGCAGCAGCCCTCCAAACCCACAAGGACTCAGCATTATGGACATAAGGTTGGAGCTACTTCCTTTGAAGTTTTCTAAGGCGTTAGGAAGCAAAAACAAAGAACGAAAAGGACCCTTTACTGCAGTGTGTAAAGGGGCTGCCTACAGTGTTTCCTGGTTTTTCTGTTTAGAAAGTTCACAGGGTCGAAAGCCCCTTCAAATCTTAGATTGACTGATTGCTGCTCTTACATTTATAGAAAAGTACGTTAATTTAAACAATACGGCAAAATATCCTGAAGCTTAGAGCAGTGAATCATTGGCAATTCTTCCAAAGAGTGTATCTTTCCCTGGATCCATATGACACAGACAGCACAGTGTGACTTGGGCTATATATGGTGATGACTTTAAGAACTGAAGATGAGAGATAAACATGTTTACTAAGATAGCTTCAAGTGGTTTCTAGCATAACATCCAATTGTGTGATTTTTTTAAGATATCATTTTCATTGTGACATTTTTATTAATTTTGTGATCATTAGTGTAGAAGTTGGTGTGCTTCTGCCACATATGTCAGAGAAGAATTAGTGCTCTCCTACCAAGTGAGTACCAGCGATCCAACTTAGGTCTAAGTGTTGGTGGCAGGGCCATCTTGATGGCCCACAATTGTGTAATATCTGAGGGCAGGTTGAAGATGACAGAAGGATAAAAGGCATGAAGTCTACAGAGAGCATTTTAGTGCCTCTAACTAGGTCACTCTCAGTTCTCAAATGACGAGGACCACACTGAGCTGGTCTGAGTGGCTGTGGGTTGCTCACTGTGTGAATGGCAGGTTCTGTGCAGGGTCTTTGAGAAAGGAAGGCCACCAGACACCTGTATTCGGTCTTCCGGGAGCTCTGTTTTCGCAGCCAGCATTTCCCGAGCATACACATCAGGGTAGTGGGCCTCGCCAAACGCCTTCTCCAGTTCTTCAAGTTGATGAGCAGTGAAAACTGTCCTGTAGAGAGGCAGAAACACACGTGAAATATGCCAGAGAGATAAAACCCATTTACAAATGCACAAAATCATGCCTTTAAAACTGTACAGATTTCCCTGTAGCCTCCTGAGAATTGCAGGAAATGGATATGTATGGTTGTCACTCCCCACCAGTAGTAGACTGCTGAGCCTTCTATACATTCTCAGATGCTGTCCTCATAGACAATAGGGGTGTGTCTATCTGAGGAAACACAGGCAGAGAAGACAGCCTGGACCCATACCTGTGTCTCCGCTTCTTCCTCTTGCCCAGAGTAAGGGACATCTTTGGGTCACTCTTTTCTTCAGATGGACTGTCCCCATCTGTTGGCACAAGAAGATGACTTTCTGAAAATTTGAAATTTTTGCTACATTTTGGGCATTTTAATGTGAAGGTTAATGCTGTGTTTATCAAGAATGTACTTAGTAGCAAGCAGGAGCTAGACTTAGGCCCCTAAACAATACCATTTAACTGTGAGGTTATCTACCCATATTCAACATACCGAAAGATCTCAGGATAAGGAAAGCTAAAAGCTAAACTATTATCAGATTCGTTGTTTGAAAGTAGAATTGCCCACAAATTTTTTTTAAATGAGTAAAGACAAAAGTAACGAGATAACACTAATTTTGTTTCTATACCAATGATATCACCATAAAATGGCACATTAATATCCCCTAAAGTAAAATAGTTTCATATTGATTCATGGAAATGGAAATATCTGCATATATTGGATTTACAATCTAGCTTTAAATTAATGTCAACTGTTTCTTGTTTTTCTTTTAAAGTGACAGAATTTCTCACCAGTCACATGATGCTGTTTCTGCAGGAAATGCCCTCCCGGAATAAATTTTACTTGCATTTTACCTTTTTTTTTTTAAATCAATATTCGGAGAAGAAAGAAGCCACCCTATGAAGATATCTTTTTCGGTTTTAATGGCACAACAGAGAGGCAGTCGATTCCCTGCTGAGAGTCCCGGCAGACCCTGGCTAGTTCGTCTGTGCTTTACAGGGTCCATCCACTCTGCTAGCCTAGCCCTGTATTCTTCGGGACAGTTTCGCTGGGTCCGCGGTTTTGTTTGTTTTTGTTTTTGTTTGTTTGTTTGTTTGTTTGGTTTTGCATAATTCTCTCCCCTCGAGCTCGCATTCCTAGGCTTTTAGTTTTTTGCCCCATGGAAAGAATGTTTTTGCTTTCTTCTCTTTCCCCACAGTACGCCAAGATTCTCTCCTCCCCGAGAAAAATAGGTAGACTCCTAACCTACCTAACTACATCAGAGTGAACGGATGGCTTCTCTCACCCGCTGGTATTTGGGTAGAAGGCAACAAAGAGAGAAAGAGCAGCTAGAGACTCAGAACTTCCTTCTCAGCACCAGGAGAGCACAAGAGTTCAACTTACCACCCAACCCTCTTAAACTATCAGTCAGCTCTGTCGACGACTCTGCCTTAGGGATACAGACACCAGTCCTCCCGATTATTCGCCACCCAAAAACTGGTACTAAGTGCTGAGAGAAAGGGGTCCGCGGGTCTGGTCACAAGAGCCATCAGAACCCTTGGTGGCTGTCCCCACATGTGGGAATGGGGCTTGGGAGGTGAGGCTGCGGTTTGGAAACCGGCAGGAGGTACAGGGGTCTGTCGGGACAGCCGCCCGAGATCTAGGGTGTCTCAAAGGGTGACCAAGCGCAACCCAGGTGCTTCTGGACCTTTTGAGGATTGGCTGCAGGAAGCATTGACTAAATTACCAGACGTGGAGATGCTCTCGCTGCGCTGCTGGCTGCCGAGCGCAGGCGGTGGGTGGACTGGGGTCTGGGCGACAGCAGGCTCGGGTCCTGCAGGGGGCAGAAGCCGCAGATCGGCGAGGAGCAGGCAGCGCGCGCGAGCGGCGGCCGCGGAAGGGGGCTGTGCCCCGAAGCCGCAGAGGAGGCTCAGGCCCAGCGGGAGAGCCCCGCGAGCAGGGCAGGAGCCGCACAGTCCCGGCCCTGGTCCCGGCCCCCGCCCTATTGCCTCCGCTGAAGCTTCGCAGTTGGATCTTAGCACAGGCTCCGCCGGAGTCGGCAGGTCTGCCTCCAATCCCAGCAGGTCGTTGATGGCGAAGCTTCGAAGGCGAGGGCCTGTGGAAGGACAGCCTGGGACCAGGGCTCTACTCCTGGAGCGCCCATCCAAAAGTCCATCCCGTCCAGTCATGCTTCTCAGCCCTCCAGGCCAGGAGTGGGGAATTGAGTCCTTTCTGGTCACCTGTGCAGAGGAGGCTAGCTCAGGCGACCCCTTTTATGCTGGAGAAGCTGTCCCTGAGACCTAGACGGCCTGGAAGGCGCCAATCAGCAGGGAGCAGTCGCATCCAAGCTCCCACCAGCAAGGTTCAGACGCCATCAGCTCCCCTCCCCTGAGTTGTTGGCCTCTCAGCTGCTGGTCGTCCTAGTCACCTCTTTTCTCTCTCCAGCTGTCCCTTGCCCACCCCACCCCCATTCTCTGAAAGGAGAGAAAAAGTGAGCATCGAGGGTTGTGTTGTCTCCCCTCTCCGATGAAACCCACAAGCTCACATCCTTAAAGGGTCTCTCTTCTGGACACCCCGGCCTTCAAAAATCTCACACTCCTTAATTACCCTGTAAGATCTAGGGAGGGTTCCCAAGCACACCACCCCCGCCCCATCCTACTACCACCCAAACCACACCGGCCAGTGTCTTCAACTCCAGCACCCAGTCTGAAAATCCCTGAAGAAAAGTTGACAATTTGTATTTAACCTACTGCCGGCGGCCACTCTCCCTCCTGCCAAAAACCCCTCCCTCGCTAAATCTTTAAGGGCTAGACAGTAGAGTGTAATACAGTCCCAAATTTGCTTGGTGCTGCGAAGGGGCAGGGAAAAGGAGGAGAGGCAGAAGTGGACTAGGAGGACTGGACAGGTTTAATAAAAATATACACAGTCCAGTGAAAAATTAACTTCCTGTAAGCAGTGGCTATTGTTTTAGTATAACGGTGTACCGTATTTTATTCAGCGATCCTAAATGAGGTCGGGGACGTGGAATAAACAGGGCCATCTACTGGGACTGCTCACTGAGACTAACAAATTACTGTTCGGATTTATGATTAGTCAAAGACAACCTGATTGGCACGTAGAAATTTCATATTTGTTGAAATTGGAGCTAATAAAACACGTAGGTGGGGGCTGGAGAAATGGCTCAACGGTTAAAAGCACTGACCACTCTTGCAGGGGACCCACAGGGCAGCTCACAACTGTCTGTAACTCCAGTGCCAGGGCATCTGGAACCCTCACACAGACATGGGTAAAAGCAAAAAAATAAAAAATAAAAAATAAAAATCATTGCATATAGACAAACAAACGACCATGGGCAAGCCCTTTTGTCTCAGCCTCCAGCCCAGGCGCCCACCCTCTCTTGGGGCCCTGCTCTCTTGTGTTTCGGGCAGACAGCAGAGCCGCAACTTTAGGGGGCCTACGGAGATATGGCTGGGCTTCCTCTACCTGGAGTCAGAGCCCTGCACAGTGCTTCTCCCTTGCTGTCTTCCCTGTTTGAGGGCGCCACCACTAAGCCAGAGGATTAAACAAGAGGCTCTAAGGAAGACAATAACAAGGGGCTGCGCATTAACTTTCCATTATTAAAAGAAGACCCAAATCTCCCCTCCAAGCTGTTCTCCGGATTAGCAAACCAGTAACTTTCCTTCAGGATAATTGTCTGTTGAGTCCCTTGCTAGAGGGGTGGATGGGTGGGGAGAAATCCTTTTTCAGCTCTGCTAGGAATGTTGCTCAAAATTCACCTCTAGATTTAGGAGAAGATGTTAGAGATATAGAGACTTGCCAATTAGCAGCTGTGAGCCTTCATAAATCCGAATTTTGGCATGCAGCTAAGAAAGATACCAGTGCAATCTTTTGTAGCCTGTAGCCTGAGTAGGTGACTCAACCGGGGTTCACCTCAAATAGAAGAGGCTGCAGAGACCTTGCCACAGGCCTGCAGCCAAGGTCCAGATCTTAAAGCTTCCGTCTCCTAGATTCTACCTCAGGAGGTGGAAGGTCACCCAGATGACAGACTCCCACATCCCAAGTAGATGCTAGAGATACAAAGCAAAAGGTTGGGAAAGGGAAGGACAGCCTACCTCATCTGCTGGGGTCAGCCCAGAGCAGACGTTTGCAACTCCCTGAGGAAGATCTTACCAAATAAACCCATTTTTGCTAATGAAAGGTTACTCAAACAAATAAACTTGTCTCATGGAACAAGGGAAGAGAAACGAGGACAGTAAGGCAGAGCCTGGCTGAGGAAGGAGCTGGGTGAGGGCTCTGAGGGTTTAAGGGCTCCTGCTGTTTCTGAACAGAGGCACCCACTGCTGCCTGCTGCCCAACTGGCAGGATGGTGGGGCCCTGCAGGGGGCCTGATAGGAGGGCTGGATCTTTGGGCACCTTTCTGCCAAAGGAAAGTGATATCAAATAATTCTCTCATGGGGCCTTTGAGATGGCTCAGAAGGTAAATGTATTTGCCTCTAAGCCTGACTACCCAAGGAGTCCTGAACTCACATAGTAGAAGAGAACTTATTACCCCCCCCACTCCCCATTCCATAAGCGAACACCCTGGCATGAACAAGTCCCTGAAACACACAAAATAAGTAAGAGGTGTTTGTATTGGGGGATACTGATTGGCTGTCATGGTCCTCTTCCTACTAAGGAACACTGTGCCTGCCACTGCACCCCCACTGCTGTCGAAAGTTCAATACTGGCACCAAGAAATAGAGACCCAGCAGCAAGAGATGGGGACGGTGCTTCACTCAGTGTCCTTGAACACTTCTATAGTTTAAGAGACAGGGGCACTAGAGACAGATCTGCCACTGAACCCACCCATGCTGTATGTCTCCCCACCCCCAGGAAGATAAAGCTGGGCTGGGAAGTTTGCACCTACCTTGGTGCTTTCGCAGCCTGGTATGGACTCCTCTTGGCTTCTTCTCACCATGGGCTGATCTGCTGCCTCTGCCACTCCCCTTGGGACCCTAAATCCATTAAGGAGTCCAGATCTGTCTTCATCATCCAGGATTATCTGGGATTTAACTAATCAAAGTTTTCCCTCTCATTATTTTCAGGGAGGTTTTCCAGACCCTCTCTGTTGCCAACTGCAAGTGTGGCAAGCCACTGCTTCTCCAGTTTGCCCGGTTTAGGTGCGTAGCAGCCTCTCACAGAACCAAGCTGGGGTTTTCCTAACTAGGGCTGGTCCACAGACACTGCTCTCTGTCTTTCAGAACCGCTGCTGGCCTGGCTGCTATTCAAAGTCTCAGATATAACAGAAGTGGGATAGCGCGTGGGGTGCTCATATTTGCTTCTCTGCTCCTGATGAAATGTTGTTAAAAGCGAGCATATTGGCTCATGTCTGTAATTCTCATGCTTGGAATGCTGAGACAGGAAAATCACCACCCACTGGAAGCCAACAGGTCACCTGTGCTACAGAGTAAAAACCTAAATCAAAAAAACAAAAACCAATCAAACAACAACAACAAAAAAGTTGTAGGAAAGCTGTTTTTCCTGTCCCTTTCCTTGGTCAGTCTGCCTGCCCTGCTCTTAGCGCCCCCATCCCCACCCCCTGCCCCTCAGCTTCATATCTTTTTCCTTGAGATTCTCTTGACTCTTGAGTCCACCTTGTCAGCTAGCCATCATAAGAATTAGCAGATTCTGAAAAACCCTGGCTCACAGAACAAGTGCTGAGAGCCCAGCTGGAGTTGGATTCAGTATCCTCCCTCCAGCCCACCTCTCCCCAACTTCCACGTTTCCTCCTGCTCAGGAGCCTACAGCATCCTGAGGTAGCTCCTCACCATCTTCCAGCCTGGCCCCCAATTCCTGACAGTGGCTGACATCCTATTAGAACAATTACAGGTCTACATGACTATGGCTCTATGGGTAGATAATAAGATTGTGCACATTTTCAGGTGGGGCAACAAAGATTTGGAGTAGTGGTATAACTTACTGAATTGCTCAGAGCCAGGGTTGGAACCCAAACAATCAGAATTTGAAGCCTGGCCACTAGCAACCCTGCTAGTGGTCCCTCTTCAAATCCTCTCAAGGCAGGGAGCCTCCCTCCTAGCCCATCATCACACTTCTGGATCAAGGCCAATGTTTTTCTTGTGGCATGGGATCAGTTTTTAAGAGGATAGTTACTCAGTACATAAACAAGTTAGGCCGTTGTAAAATGCAGGGGACAGATACTTCTTTACTCCATACCACTTCTTAACCTTCTACCTGGGAACATCTAGGTTCATTTTTCCAATGAATCTTTTCACAAAATCCCTGTGTCAGAGGAAATGGGGAGTTGGGGAGAGTTGAGCTGGGGAGAGGATACTGAATCCAGTTCTGGCTGAGCTCTCAGAACTTTTCTAACATGTAGGTAAAATAGAGACAGGTTTCAAGAGTATGTCCCAAACTGGAGACAAATCTGAAAATTCTTGTTGGGGAGATGGTACTATGCGGTGAGCTTCTTTGTGGGAGCCCAGATCTAGACTGTCTCCAAGCTCTGGACCAGGGACCAGTGCTGAGTGGTAGTGCTATTTGTACCTATTCTATAGCTGTTTTCTCTGAATTAAAACTGAGGGAACTTAAAAGGCACAGGAAGCTCATAAAACTCACCAGGAGCAGGAAGCTCCGAAAGATACAAGGTTTTTAAGGTGGATGAGCCTTCATAAGTCATCGTCCACTCTGCATGGGCTTTGCTTTCAGTGATACAGCTGCTTTGGGGTTATCTGTGCTTAAGTAACCTCTTGTCATATTCTATAAGTAACCACAACAAACTCATTCGCTTACCAAGCTAGACTTGGGTGGAATTTTTTTCTTTGGTTTGTAGTCATTGCCATTTATTCTTGTCTTCCCAGAAAAGATCACTAAGCAACCTGGCACAAAGTGAACGAGTCCTGGGTGGATTGCCATGAACTGCAGGCTGTTTTCTGATCCACTTTCCTTGGAGAACTTTAACTTCTCTTCATTTACCTTTTCTGGTCCCCAAATCCGAGCCTACTCCCAAAGACCTGAGACATCTGAGAGCATTGCTTCCTGTCTTCTGTGGTATCCCAAATACTTAGAAGGAAAGAAAATTAAAAGACTCAATAGAACTTTCACAGACCAGCTCCAGAGTGGGTTCCTCAACTGCAGAGGCAGATCATTTGATGTCCCCATCGGCACAGACATTTTGGCTCCAAGTAACCATCCTGAGAGTCTACTTTTATCCAGGTTAAAGTTTTGTTTACAAAGATCACAAGGGTGGGTGGGTTCCAAGAGTGGTTGTAGTCAGACCTAGGCAGGATTCAATGCCAACAGAGACTAGACTGTCTATTTATCAGTCCAAGCAAAGGACAGCAGCATACAGGTTTAACTTATTGTTAACTCATTTTCTTCCAGCACTCTATGCAGCCAGACAGACCCAAATCACCTAGAGGAAGCCTCCTTAAGAAGTAAAGCAGAAGAAGACAGATGCGGCCGTGGCAGTGCATAGCCCTTCCTGAACATAGCAAAGATGCTATGTTCTTAGAAGACCGACCCAAAGAGAGGACATAGCATCTCAGACACATTTCATTCCCACAGCTACAGTGTTAGTCAAGCCTTCCACGTGCCCAAGGGGAACGTGCTCTGAATTGTTTTATCACACTTTGTTTTGACACACCTTTTGTCACATACTTCTGGGACGTCTTTGTTGCTTTCCATCCTGACGTTTCTTCTTTTTCCTTTTTTCCTTTCTTTTTCTTTTTTTTTCTTTTTGGTTTTTTGAGACAGGGTTTCTCTGTGTAGCCCTGGCTGTCCTGGAACTCACTCTGTAGACCAGGCTGGCCTCAAACTCAGAAATCCGCCTGCCTCTGCCTCCCAAGTGGCAGAGTGGGATTAAAGACGTGAGCCACCACTGCCCTGCAAGTAAATCTTTTTTAAAATATAAAAGATTTTGGAGTTTGGAGAAATGGCTTAGTTGGTAAAGTGCCTACCACTCAAACATAAGGATGTGAGTTTAGGACCCCAGTACCCATGTAAAAAAGCCATGAACAGAAGAACATGGTTATAATTCTAGCATTGGTGAGGTAGAAGGAAGCAGGACTTAATGGCTATCAATCTAGCCTGCTTGGTGAACTCCAGGCCAGTGAATGATCTTGTCTTTAAAAAATTATTTTTTAAAAAATGGGTGATGCCGAGAAACAACCGGAACACACACACACAGGTTACATAGGAAATTATCAAGATAGGCCATATTCTGGATTGTAAAACACACTTTAACAAATTTTTTTTTTTGGTTTTTTGAACACTTTAACAAATGTAAAGGAATAGAAATCATAGAAAGGACCAGCAATAGCACTCCTGGGCATATTCATCCAAAAGATTCTACATCTACAGAGATCCTTGCTCACCTCTGTTCATAGCTGCTCTATTCACAATCGCTATGGTAGTGTGGTGCGTGTACATAGTAGAATGTCATTTAGCTGTAAAGAAAAATGAAACTGTAGAATCTGCAGGTAAGTGGATAAAATTAAAATAAAAACACAAACAAAGCCATCTGAGTGAGGTAGTTCAGACCCCAAAACACAAATGTCAAATGTTCTTCTTTCTCATAGATAGATCATAGCTTTCAATCTCTAGAGTTGTGTATTTGAATTGGAATACCTGTAGAAGCCAAAAACCTTAAAGGGGTCCAAGGTAGAAGAGGAGATAAGGAAAGGGGGACAGTAGAAACAAACTGGAGGTAGAGAAAGAGAATAAGTGGGGAATTTGAGCAGAGGGCAGATTTAGAAATGCGTTTGGAAAAGCTGTATAGAAGCCTACTGTCTACTCTATGAAAGGCACAAATGACAAGGTGGCAGGACAAACTACAGACCTGGAGACTATGTGTGCAAAGCACATGTTTTCTTAAAAACTTGTACCAAACATAGGGAAAGAGCATTTAAAGGCAGTCTGTCCATTTTTTTCAAAACTACACACGACCTTATCGTGTGATGTGGCGATCACAGTTTTGGTATTTACACCAACACTGGTGTTGGTGATCATGCTCTCGCAATATGACTGCTCACAGCAGGCTTTTTATAACACCCCAATGCTGGAAGTAAGCAACCCGATTCAATCACTGAGAAATATACAAACTGTATTACATACAGACAGTGGGATATTGTTCCATTATTAAAATAATGAAAAGAGCCAGGCACAGTGGTACAGTCTTTAGTTCCAGCACTTGGGAGGCAGAAGCAAGTGGATCTCAATGATTTCAAGACTGGCCTACAAAGTGAGTTCCAGGATAGTCAGGGTTACACAGAGAAACCCTGTTTCAGGGGGAAAAAAATCAAGACAGTCTGATCTCCATAGAGAATTCCAGGACAGCCAGGGCTACATAAAGAGACTCTGAAAAAGAAAAGAAAAGAAAATGTAAAGACAGGGAGAAATCCTAAATGCCTATTACTCAGTAAAGGAAACCAATCTGAAAAGGCCACACACTGAGGGACTCCACATATGACATTCCTGAAAAGGCAAAGCTAGGGAGACACTCAAGAGATCACTGGTTGCCAGGGGATGAATAGGAGGCCCAGACAAACAGGCAGCATATGGGGAACATTCTGCAGTGAGACCGTTGTAATACTTCAGTGATGACTAAATGACATCGTACAGTCATCCCCAGAATCCATAATCCAATGAACCCCTTAACTGTGGACTTGGTTCCTAACAAATGGGCCAATGTAGATTTATTGATTATAGGGAATACATACAATTACAGAAGAGATTAATGACAGGAGGTCTGAAGGGGTCTTAGGGTGTATATATGGGAACTCTCTGTACTTTCTGTTCACTTTCTTAAAATAAAAAGACAAAGTGTGGTTCTCAAAGCTGCCAAGGACCACAAGGAAGAGCCTGCTCTCACTTCCTCACCAAGCTGGTTTTCACCTTCAGTTTTGGCCCTGGAAATCCCCCTTAAATGTTGCAAGATAAATGGTGAGTTTAAAAAGAATGTCTATCCAGCATTTCTACAGGTGATTCTATTTAATCCACTCATAATTACTTTTGAAAAGAATATCAAGGGGTTAAAGCTGATTTATATAGTTCTTGCCTTGCATTCATGAGGCCCTAGGCTCCTTGTTCAGCGTGGTGTAAACACACATAGAAGTACACACTGTGGTGGCGCATGCCTTT